ACCTTCTACACACTCTCTTTATTAAACTTGCCTCAATTATCCAATGTGCTCTCTGCTTTCTCCTGAGACCCTAACACATAAGACAGGAGGAACAGGTAAGGTAAAGATGAGGAAGGGAAGGTAAGAAGAAGAGAGTCTGTATATTGAGGTTTTCTTAGCATCACAGAAACATGGGTTTGAAGCCTAGTTAGTTAGGTGGTCAAGTTATTTATTTATTTATTTATTTATTTTTTATTTTTTATTTTTTTAAATATATTTTATTGATTTTTTACAGAGAGGAAGGGAGAGAGATAGAGAGTTAGAAACATCGATGAGAGAGAAACATCGATCAGCTGCCTCCTGCACATCTCCCACTGGGGACGTGCCCGCAACCCAGGTACATGCCCCTGACCGGAATCGAACCCGGGACCCTTGAGTCCGCAGGCCGACGCTCTATCCACTGAGCCAAACCGGTTTCGGCAAGTTATTTAACTTCAGAGTGTGCTTCCCTGGACTTTCTATGGGGATAATATCTACCAGGCAGGGTTGGGAAGGGGAGATAATATATGTGGAAGCTACAGTAGAGTTCCTGGCACATAGCGGATGTTCCATGTGGAAACTATCATCATGACAACATACTAGGCCCTGTTCTGTGTTACGTGTGAGTGCATTTAGCACTAAAGGGAAGCAGAATAGGTTGGGCGTCAGGGAAATTACTTCATCATTTTTATTTAGCTTTGCTTTTAGCTTGGCTTCTCACTGATCCCTGGGTGCGTGAGCTGGGCTGGTGAGGAGGTTTCTATTCTGAATCTGTGGGAAGGGGAATGGGAAGGACAGAAGACAGGAATGAAATGAGATGAGAATGGAACTGAGGAGACCTTGCCCATGTTAAGGCCACTTGAGCTTCTACACGGAAAGTATTTGAAGGGGCAAACTGGTGAGGGTGCCTGAGCTCACAGGGCACACCTCCTCTTTCCCTGTCTTTCCACCAAGTCTGAGACATTCCTCCACCTCGAGGGTCATAGCCGTCCTGCTCCTCCTCAATTCCAGATAACCAGTTGTTTTATTTGTGCAGTTTTTAAGAGGAGCAGCACATTGTAGGGTTACTCGCCTGAAAGGCAAATGGCCCATTGGGGAGGGACCAGAGGCACAGTGGCAGGTAGGGCAGGCAGAAGGAAAGTCACCATGTCTCGGCAGAGCCAAGTAATCACCCTTGGAATTTATCTGGAGCCTTTCTCTCTTTCCAAACACACTGCTTCTTAATCCCGCAGCACAAGGCAGCTGGAATGAGACAGAGGCTCAAAGAGCAATCGTGTCCCTGAAGCCACACAGGACTCAGAATGAAAAATAGAAACCAGGTGAAGTAGGCTCCATTGAGCCTAATCTGAAGAGTTTGTTGGACATGTGGGCGGCTGGGAGTGGGGTAGGTGTGGTTAGTGCAGAAAAAAATCTAGATCCCCACCGTTTCTGTTTTTAAACCTCTTCTCCTCTAAATGCTGGGAACTCTGGCTCAGGATCTCAACACCTGTGGGTAAGGTGGGAGCGGGCTGTTGGAATTTCAGCAATGCTCCCATGTCTGAGGGACATGGCTGCAAGTGACACAATGGCTAGGGGCTCTGATTCCAGAAGAAAAGACTGTATCCAACACTCACCCTCCCCACTTCCTGCTCCACTAGGCAGCAGTTGGGCAACCCGGAGAAAGGAACTATAGCATGCTTGAAGGGGGAGGGTAAAATGGACATTTATTACACACAGTAGCAAAAATGGAACAAGAGTCAAATCTGCAGTGGTCTTTATATCAATTCTCCAAAGACTAGGCACTCAACCTAAAATAAACGCCCCTTTCTCAGCCCTGGATGAGCAATGGGATCTCACGTGGGAAAGGCTGGGATCCAGTTCATGGGGATGATGCCCAGTGAATGCCACTTAGTCTCAGTGGAGAAATGTCTGAGGACCAAAGCCTTTTGGGAGGTGTCTCCTGGATCCATCAAAAAGTCAGGAATCTCTCAAGCCCACAAGGCAATTAAGGCCATGAAGGCAAAACCAGCGGCTACACAGCCCCACTTGACCAGAGGGGCCTCAGGACCAGCTAGCTCCCTGGGCAGAATTTCTAGGAAGGTGACATACAGGAAGGTACCAGCTGCAACACCCTCTAACACGGCCTGGGCTAAGCCTTGCCCCCCTTCTGAGTCCCCTGTAGGCACAGCCAGCCCTATGGCTACCCCCAGGGGGGACATGAGAGCAAATAACAGTATGCAGAACACGGCCCATCGTGGTGCAGTGCCTACCTGCACCAGCCGCAGTCCTACACCAAATACTATGAGCCCCTTGTGAGCCAGGACAGCAAGACAGAGCTGCACGGTGGCTACGACTGTTGTCTGCAGCCCCACAGCCAGACCTTCAAACACCGAGTGGAAGGAGAGAGAGAGCAAGAGAATGAGGGCTCGAAAGGGACTCTGTGAGGGTGAGGGTAGAGATCCATGGCTGTGGAGTCCAAGGACATGAGCCCCACCCACTTCCTCCTCCTGCACTTTGGATCCTCCGTGGGCTCCAGGACAGCACTGCAATGCCAGCGACTCCAAAAAGAAGACGAGGAAGAAGCCCAGGGAGATGATGAGCTCTCCATAGGGATAGTCTGTCTGGGAACAGAGAGAGGGGCTGTGGGACAGGAAAGGAAGTGCAGTGGATGGAGGTGCGGAGGTGGGATGGGAGACTGGAGAGAATGGGTAATGTGGGACTAAAACATTAAAAAGGGTAGGCGAATGAAGCCTGGAGGAGATACGGACATGCAACAAGAATACCAGAGGGACCAGGGTCACAGTGTCAGTAAGGTTGAAATGTGGGAAAACGATGGGGAGCATGTCTAAGGGTCTAGGGAAAGAAGGAAAGAGTAAAGCCAGAGCTTTGTCTGGGGTTCCATAAACCCCAAAGTATGGGGTTGGCTCCTCCTTTCCCTACAGTGTCTGAGCTGAGGAGCAGAGGGATTCCTGGTATTCCTCACGTCCTCTCCTCAAAAGGATCTGGGTATGAAGAGTCTCTGGTTCTCCTCACCCTCCAGGTTGGGTGTGAGAGATACTTACAGAAGCTGAATTAGCATCTCCAGAAGAATTTCCCCCACTCTCTGTCCTGTTCTAGAGAGAAAAAAGCAGAAATTAGATGAGGGGTGGAGCAGCTCAGCTTCCTGTCCTGTCCCTTCAGCTCCACTGCTTTCCTTACAGGCTAATCTGACCTGTCGTCATGATTCCACACAACAAAGAGCTGTCATTGTCTCTATTGTTCCATGTCCTTGGCTCTATCACTTTCCCCCCTTCCTCCCCTTGGTTCTGTTCATCATCTGGCTTCTCAGCCCTACACCTCAGCTGCTCACCTGCATCGTGACCTTCCGGATCTCCGACTCAATTCCCTCCAGGGCTTCAGCAGTCATGTGCATGAATCCTGCTCCCAGGAAAATACCGGCAGAAATGCAGCCCAGGAGGCTGAGGACCTGGCGGTGACGACCTAATGAAAAGCAGGAGTTACAACCAGTTGGCAATGAGATGGACAAAGGTGACTAACGAGCAACAAAGAGCACTCAACATCCAAGCATGGGGATGGCAAGAGAATCAGAGCAAGTGTCAGGGTAGGGTGATAGGGTTGAAGTCAGGTTATGGGGACAAAGATACAGAAGGGCTATACCTCTGGCTGCCTCAATCTGGAACCATTTGAAGCAGATGGGAATAAGGCCACAGACCAGCGTGAGAACCAGCAGGGCAAATAGGCAGCCAATTTTTACGCCTAGCACTGGCTCCATCCTTGCGGTACAGGATAAGCAGACCTCAGAATGACAAACGGAGTTACAAGCTTTGGAGCAGGAGTGGTGCCTTAGGTGGTCAAAGCTGTAGTGTCCACTCCTGAGTTTCAGGAAGCTGTTGGATTCTCTGTTTTGTGCTGCCTGATTGCACAGCCTTGCATAGCCGACTGGGGCCCAGCCCTAGTTTCCCGCCCTCCCCCTACATGGAGGCCCCTCCCCTGGCTCACACCAAAACCAGAAACTCCAGACTCCCTGCCAGGCACAGCCCTGTGCTCTGTCTTCTCTTCAGTTCCATGACTAATCCAAGGGCTGTGGACTTAGTTCATGCCTGGGGCTCGTCTAATCCAAAATGGCACAGTCTATGGTGCTACTTCCCAGCTATTTTGTGTTGGAGACAATCTGGTCCTGGCTCACTCAGGATATTTGATCTAAGCCTTCCATACCCTCCCCACCCCAATGCAAGTCTTATAGGCTGCTATGCTGATACCTGAACCTTACCCTTTCAGAGGGGATTTGGGGCCACCAGGGTTAAGGAGGTGGGGCTAAGGAGTGGTGCTGCTGCCACTCTGGGAACTAGATGAGGGGACTCCCCTTGCCTGTAACCCCAGAAAAATAGCTCCAGGTATGGAAATGTCTATGGGAGTCGAGATTTCTAGTATTACAACACTGAAACTGTTCCCGCTTCTGACTGTGCCTACTTCCTGATATACGTTGTGGGAGAGGGACTGAGAGTTTTATTACACAGAAAGTTGCTCTAGCTCTGAAATAGCAAGGCCTAGGGGAACACAGAAATGAACCAAGTAAATGAAAGACCCTGCCTGGATATGCTGGGGTTGAGATGGATGATTTGATCCTGAAAGAATCAATTCTTGAAGGACACTCATGAGCCAAACTCTGGGGAGCTGATGAACCCTGAGAGAGATAAAAGGAAAGGAAGGAGGGAGAAAAACAGAGGCCAGGCAGCTGCTTGCTGGTCACCTATCCAGGTGGCCCGTCTAACTACCCTGAGACCTGTTGAGCCAGTTCTCAGAGCGCTGGGGGCGGCGTTCCCCACTACCCATTACTTCCCTGGGAAGTCCCGGTCTCTGGGAGAAGCAGCAGTATTCTTACAGGAGGGGCTGAGCTTGAGGTTTCTGTGGGGAGACAGGCACTGAATCTCTGAGGACTCACTTTGTTACAGGATAGGCCGTGATGACTAACATTTATACCTTTTAAGAATCACAAGACCCAGTCCCATTCTTTGAAAACTTTTAATTATTAAAACTTCAAACAAATGCAGATATATAGGGGTAAAAGCACTCCCATCCTGGATACCAGGTAGCTTTAGCCTTGGCAGGCACAATGCAAGAAACTCTTGTTACACATCCTTGTTAACTCTCAGGGGGATCTTCAACAGGGGACGGAAGAAGCTCAGACGGGGTGGTCACAGGTAAAAGATCTCCCCAGGAGCTGACACGGGCACAGCGATACAAATCCCTATGAAAAAGAGAGGTCAATGTGGGGGGTGGGTTCCTGCCACCTCCCACTAATAGTGGTCACAGCCTCCGTACCTGCCATGGCGGCGGGCTGTGAGCACAGCATGCTGCATATGCCCATCTGGACAGCACAGGTGACAGTGCACATGGCGTGGCCGCTTAAGGACAGGCTGAGTGATCCGGGGCCAGCGATTAGCTTCCTCTGGAGACCCCCGGGCAAGGATTACCATCGAGAACTTTTCCTCCTTTGGCTTCTTGCTCTGAGGTAAGGATAGAGTGACTGTTTTTGGGGAAAAGATGTGGGGAAAATGTTGACCCCCATTCCTGTAGCCCTTTACATATTCTAGGTCTTGCACATTCAGGCCCTACAAACGCTCTCGGAATTTTCCAACTCCTCCCACCTGGTTCTTTTTCATCCTGCTTTCCCAAGCTACCTCCTCCCTGCTGCCATATTCCCAGGTACATACCCAGCTGAAGGGGATGGGATGGTAAGCCTGGGAAAAGCTACAGGCCAGGGGCTTAGAGGCTGTCAACTGGGGACAAGGAAGTTCATGGGGACACTGTAAACACACATGAAAAATATGAGGTAAGATGAAAGAACCACAGATCATAAAACTGGAAACTAAGGGTGCTAGGGTCAGGAAGGGCTAGGGGTAAGGGAGCACAGGAGTAGGGGGTAGGGAGAGCAGGGGATCCACTAAGAAGAAATCGGATCAGGACACAAAGCAGTGGAGGGAGGCTTAGCTTTGCCCTCTCACTTGCCCTGGACACAGCTGAGCTCAGCTCTTTGCATGCTGGGAAAGGCAGAAGCAATACTCACTGGGGCAAAGACAAAACCAGGTCGAGGGTCCAGAGGTGACTTCTCCTTTCCCTGAAATCAAAGGAAATAAAAAAGTTAAGCTGGGCCTGTAGGGTCTATTCTCATAAGTCAATCTCTGCTCTCAGTCAATTGAGGACTCCTTTAACATCCGATTCTGGTAATTACTAACTATGTTCTTTGAGTTAAGCTGGCTACTTCTCTAATACTCCAAACAAAGAACTTTCTCTTTGCAGCAGGAGAAAGGCAGGAACTTGGCACATAGAATGGTGCTCTTCTTGTCAGCAACCTCCACTCTCAAAAAAATCCATTCCAGGACAATTAAACTCATGATTTTATACTGGTTCATACAGTCCTAGAGATAAGGTTTTTGGCTCAGCCATGTCCTAGGTCAGGGGTCAGCAAACTTTTTTAAAGGCCCAGAGGGTAGGCAAAATCTGTTTCTGTCCCAACCATTCATCTCTGCCATTTGTAGTGTGGAAGCAGCCATACACAACAGACACTCAAATAAGCCTGGCTCATACAAATCCTGGCAGGCCGGATTTGATCCACAGGCCCTACTTTGCTAACCACCACCCTACATCATAATGACTTTACACGTCTACTCTCCCGAGAGTCCCTTACTTTGTACGACAGTCTTTTCAGTTTTCAAGGGAGTACTGGTAATTGGTGACAGATAGGTAGGGGTTGGGGGAAGAGAAGGAGAAAGAACCTTACCTTAAGGACCAGGTCCCTGGCTTCCATGAGAAGGCAGTGCCCAGCTTTTGTTCCATTCTCCACCAATATCTGTTCACAAAGGGGAAAATGAGCAGAAGCCCCGAATTACATGAAAACACAAATGTCAGTAGCTCTGTAAGAGCATTCACAGATGGAACAGCAGTCCTAAAGGAAGGGGCATCACATATAAGATTGGGATGGTGACCCTAAAAGAGGGACAAAGGAATCTATGCAGGAGAAAAAATGGTCGAGGATGCAGACAAGCTCCAATGTAGAGAAGGAAAGGAATGAAACCCAAGAAGCTGCTTTAAAACTTGAAGGGAAAAGTGGATTTTTCCTCACCAGAAAATCACTTGTCTTGCGCCACAAGGTTTGGACTATCTCAGCGCGGTCAGCCTTGCTGGGCAGTTCACTTAGGGAAAAGGCTGATACCACCACATTGAACTGTACCTGAGGACCAAGACAAAGAACATGACAGACCTGCCATCTCGCCCTTCCTAGAGCACAATAAAGTTCTATCTCCCTAAATGTATTCTGCTGTCTTTTATCTTTTAACTTTTAATGCTGGATTGCAATGCTGAGGCCACGCAGTTTTCCACCTGCCAAATTCCACATTTAGCATACTCTACATATTGCCACTTGCCTTAGGTGATACAGGTAGAAACTGTCTGAAAAAGACACCTGGAATATACAGCTTCCCATTTTCTGAACCACCTGTAAAGACAAGCAGAGGTGTGGCAACTATGAGTGTATAGCACTGATTTTTAACTGGTGTGCAGCAAGAATGTTTAAAACATGTAATACCTGACTGTTTAGTGAGGGGCACTGATCTCTTTTCCCTTAGACTGTCAAATAAAAAAATGACAGCCAAAACAATAGCCATGGTGTGAATGAGTCAAAATGATACCTATTTTTTGTCAGACGGGCAAAAAATATATTTTTTGGCATGCTGCTGAATTCTAATAACTAGCTTATGTGTGCCATGAGATGAAAAAAGTTGAAAATTGCCAGTGTATAAATATAAATTGAAGTGATATCCTGGTAAGAAATATGGCCCTGAGAATAAAGAAAAATGCTAGTTGAGAGTGAGATGCATAGGGTAAGCAAATATTAAAAAGGTCAGGGAGAATATTGGGAAACCTGTCTGTTAATCTTTCCCAACCCATTCACAGTCCAGTAAAGCCTCCTCCCTACGCCCCCACTTGACCATAAAATTGGAAGGAGACCAAACTCATCTGTAACTTTTAGCTCTCTCCCTTACTCCAGAATAAAATACTCTCTCCAGTATTCCTTTGCTTTCTTAACTCCTTCAACTTTGGGAAAGTCCTTCCTTATAGCTTGTCCTCACCTTTCAGTAACTTTTCTGCCAAATCCAACATGGCAGCTGAACTGTCCACACACATATATTCACGTAGGCTCTGACCCCAAATACTATGAGCAGCCCTAAGATGACAAAATATAAATCACCAGTTCTCATGACAAAGAATCATTCCTACAAGAGAACCCTCTATCCTGAACCCCACCCCTGGGGAAACAGAATGCTATGTTAAAATGTTGGAAAAACTAACTTTCTTATTTTCTTATTTACAGTTCCTTAAAAAAACAAACAAACGCAGACTCAAGAAAACTACTGTAGGCAAAATAATTTTGATGATATGTAAAACTTATGCCCTACACTAAATTCCTTTATCTTTGTACATGTGGGTCTTTTATCACTTAACATTTAAGTTCTGACTCTAATCCATCTATCTTCTCATGCCTTGCCCATTCTGAGGGAAGAAACATTTGAATTCCCAACTTTCCTATTCTTCCTCTGGTTCCCCAGTCTCTTGATATTGGTGTTGTGTAAGCATGGCTCTCTAGAGCTAGAATGGATAGAGACAGAGAAAGATACTCACCAGGTGACAGAACCAGTACCTGACCCAAAGTCCATCAGGGTTTTTGGTTGGAACTCTGGAAGTTGAGTCTGGATCTAAAGAAATATACAACACCCCACACAGTAGGGTAAGTAGATGCTTTTTAGGGCCTTGGCGAAATGAATTAGGAGACCAAGACAGAGGGTATGAGAGGGTGACTGTATTTTGAGATTTAATATAAATACTTTACATAACAGGAAGCTCCTAAAACAGTGAATCTAAACCTTTCTGGGTCACAATATCCTTTCAGAGGATAAGAAGAGCCTCTTAAAAAATGTACATGAAATGTCTCAAGAATCCTACCCCAGAAGACTACTTTATGAATAAGGGAACTGATGGTAAAAGGGTTCAGGTTGGAAGTTGCAGGATCCTCACCTCATGGAATGCCCTGGAGACTGCTGCAAAGCCACCATCCAGTCTTGCGGCCATATACACCAAGCTCAGTCCCTCATTGTAGCTGCCAGAAAAAATCAGAGTCATTTCCACTGGGCAGTAACCTCTATCCCATAGGTACCTCTAGATTTTTAGGAAATGAAATTTTTGGAACGGGCTCTTCCAGGTCAACAATTTCACTTTGCAACACAGAAGAGTCCAGGGAAGCCTGACAAACCAGATTGCTTTTTGAAACAGAAAACTATGTAATTGTGCTCGTCCAACTCTCCTTCAAAAGTCAAACTTCTCTTCCTTCTGCAGCCCCTCCAGTCCCCCTTACCTCAGTTCTTGCCAATGGTAGGTAGTTTTACGCAGGGCATGCAGCACTGCTCCACGAAGTTTCTCCTCTGTCTGAGATGAGTCTGGGGTGAGAACAAGGAAGAATAGGGCTCAAATCTAGTATCTGAATATAATGCCTACCCAATCCTCCCCAACTCCCACCTGGGAAAAGCCTTAAAACTTAAAAGAGAAGCCAAACATAGAGAAAAATTTCAGGTAAGAATAACAACGATCTCCATCTATAGCACCAGTGTATCAGATAGTATTTGTCTCTAATAGCAGGTTATTTAAATTGATCCATCCCATCCCACAGGTTTTGTTCTATATTGAAGGGAAATGTGGTAGATGTAAAGGAGCCCTGGACGGGTGGCTCAGTTGGTTGGAGTATCATCCTGTACACCAGTGGTTCTCAACCTGTGGGTCGCGACCCCTTTGGGGGTCGAACGACTCTTTCACAGGGGTTGCCTAAGACCATCGGAAAAATCATATATAATTACATATTGTTTTTGTGATTAATCACTATGCTTTAATTATGTTCAATTTGTAACAATGAAAATACATCCTGCATATCAAATATTTACATTACGATTCATAACAGTAGCAAAATTACAGTTATGAAGTAGCAACGAAAATAATTTTATGGTTGGGGGTCACCACAACATGAGGAACTGTATTAAAGGGTCGTGGCATTAGGAAGGTTGAGAACCACTGCTGTACACCAAAAAGGTTGTGGGTACAATCCCGAGTCAGGTGTGTAAGGGAGGGAATCGACTGATGTTTCTCTCTCCCTCCTTCTCTCTCTGAAATCAATAGACATATCTTCTGGTGAGGATAAGAAAAAGTTATAGGATAAGGACAATATTTTGTGGATTTCCTCACGTCCCCAAAACTTAAGATTGTGACGTCTCCACAGTTCCTACAGGGAGGAACGGGACTTGGAAATCTTTTTTTTTTTTTTTAAATATATTTTATTGATATTTTACAGAGAGGAAGGGAGAGAGATAGAGAGTTAGAAACACCGATGAGAGAGAAACATCGATCCGCTGCCTCCTGCACATCTCCCACTGGGGATGTGACCGCAACCCAGGCACATGCCCTCAACCGGAATCGAACCTGGGACCCTTCAGTCCGCAGGCCGACGCTCTTATCCACTGAGCCAAACCGGTTTCGGCAGGACTTGGAAATCTTAAGTCTCATAATTGTCTGTTCAGTTCAGTACTATTTTATTTATTGAGTGCCTATCATGAGCCAGGTACTATGGGAAGTACAGGGAATACAAGATGTATAAAAGACAGGTCTGTAATATGAAGGAGCTCACAATCATGAAAATGACAATGCATTATATTTATTCTTCTATCCCTGAAGATTTCAGCACTAGATAAGGAGTCATCCAGGGGCTTTATTTCAGAATAAAAACTTAGACAGTCCTAATCCAGTGGATTTGGAGGGAAAAAAAAAAAAGCACTCTTTGACCTTCACCAAAGCCCCAAGGGCAATCTCTGAAATAATCTATCTTCTCTTAGTAAGGCATCATTGTAATAACTGTCCTGTCCAGAAAGTCAAACAAGAAACTGCAATACCTATTTGAGAGACTAAAATAATTTCTTGGTCTTCATGTCTCACTATTTCGATTTGAACTACTCTTTGATGATTCTTAAACCCTACCAGAGTTTTCCAGGAATTTTTTCTCAAGATGTTCTGCCCGTCTTTGCAGCTCCCCTGGCTCTACAGGTAAATGCCGGCTCCAGAGATAATTGGTCAATGCTTGCACCTGCTTCTCCACATTGGGCACTGCACTGTCTGCGGTGCAAGAAGGAAAAGCGGCGTCAGGTGTACGAAGGCCCAGGCTCCGCTTCCTCTCGCGCTCCCCTCGCCCACCGCCACTCACCGAGCAGCATTAACTGCGCGGCGTCAGCCAGCGCTCGAGGCAGCCGCACACACGGCAGCTTCAGGATGCCCGGGTGCCGGCGATGGGGCCTCTTCCCCAGAAAACCCGACTTGTTATCCACCTGGGATACACCGGGCACAAGGGCGGCGAGAGCCTGCAGGCCGGGAAAGAAAAGCAGCTTGCGGGGCCGCGGGGAAGGCCGCGGGCGCTCGCTCAGGGAGGGGCCGCTCGGGGCCGGGCTGTTCCCCAGACCCAGAGCCTCGCCGAGAGCAGGGACAGCGGGCACTCACCCGGGCCTGGGGAGCTACTCCCACGCCGCGGCGCCATCTGCCTAGTGTCAACAGATAACTCGGGCTTCTTACAGTCGCCATGACTCCGGATGCGACCCGGAAACGGAAATGTGGTTGCCTGTGACCTTGAGTCTTGCCGCCGCGAACGTCCCAGCGGAACGTCGGCACGGGAGGCATCAGCCAATGAGGAGAGCGAGTGGTTGCTAATAGCCAATAAACCGCTCGGTGGGACTTGGGTGGGTCTTGGGCCTCGGTTTCTAGGTAACCAGCGTGACGCGGCGTGGTCTGGTTGGGACTGGTCTCCGGGTTCTGAAATCCCCGGGGCGGGCAGCCCCCGGGGTCTGCAGGGACGTGTGGCAGACAGCAGCTGTTTTCTCCCTGAGTTAACTGCCGCATCCCTTGATTTTTTTTTCTCTGGAGAACTCTGAAGTCATAGTCCCCTTACCCTCCATACCTCCGAGAGAATGCAGTAACGGTAAAATGAGATAGAAGCCAGATTTAGGCGACTAAAGAGAACAACAATGGATAGTTAATAAATTTGTGGGTTTTTTTTTTTTTACGTTAGCTTCTCTTCATATTAAACCAGGCCCCTTAGGTAAATAGCTAACACAGAGATCATTATATTCCAGATACGGTGGCAAGCACTTTCACGTAATATTACCTCATTTAGTCCCCACAATCCTATGAGATAGATTCAGTTTTTAACCCCATTTGTAGCTGAGGAAAGCTGAGGCTTCAGGGGGTTAAATTCCACACCCGTGATCACTCAGCCTGTTTGGGGACAACGACATTTAAACCTAGGCAGTCTAAGTCTGAGCTTCACTTCTAAACAGATGTCCCACCACCTTGTTGGTATTTGGAATGCAAGTTAGCAAATTAACTAAGAACAATATGGTAAATGTTCTGAACTGTTAAATTAGCATGCATATGTATATCTTTTCTAGAAATATACTTTTATTGATTTCAGAGAGGGAGGGAGAGGGAGAGATAGAAGCATCAATGATGGGAAACAATCATTGATCCACTGTCTTCTGCACCCCCCCCCCCCCAACTGGGGATTGAGCCTGCAACCCAGACATATGCCCTGAGGGGGAATCCTAGTCCATTGGTCAATGCTCAACCACTGAGCCATGCCAGCAACTATGGTATATCTTAATCCGGTGACTGGATGGGTAAAAGTATTGCCTTTGCTCTGTGGATCCTGAGAAAGGAGGTACATATTTAGGAAGGGCTCCCAGTGGCTAACTGGGCTCAAATTTTTTTTAAAAAAGAGCCTAGCAGCCATTACTATTCAGGGGCCTCTCCTGCAAACTGCACTTCATGGAGAAGCCTGCACCGAGTGTCTGCCTGCATTGTGTTCTTGCCATCTGAGCCAGCCCTTAAAAAGGAGCTCCTGATAAAATAAACAGATGAACAAAATAGATTCAGAGACACAGAATCATGGAACAGACTGATGAATTTCAGAGGGAACTTATTAACTGGGGAACTTATATGCATAGTCCATGGACACAGAAAATAGTGTGGTGAAGGCTTGGAAGGGGCTGGTATGGGGAGGAGGGAGTCAATGGGGAAAACAACAATAACAACAACAACAACAGCAACAACAAAACAGGAGATATCTGCAATACTTTCAACAATAAAGATAAATTTAAAAAAAGGAGTTCCTGGACTCCTATTTCAACCAATAGGACTGAGGCTTTCCCCATCCAATTGGACCTGCACAGCTATATCAGTATCATCTTCTTCACCAACTAATCAAAGTGGCTCCATTCTGACCAATCAGGACAGTGCCTTTTGGACCAATCAAACTGCGAGGATTTGGAGTCCTCCTTTGCATGAGGAGGAACTAATCAAGAATCAGAGTTTGGGTATTCCTGTCTATATCAGTCAGCTCCACTCTTCCCTTCCAATGGGGCCTGCAACAACATCTTTGTACTGGAGGACCCTACTTAATGAGGCAGCTAGACTGTCATCTCTGAAATCTGACAGGGTATGAAAAAGAAACTATTTTAATAGAATAGGTAAAGAAAACTTCTGGAACAGTATATCCATTTTGCGTTATGCTTACCTTGAGAAAAGTTTTAGAAAAATAAAGTTTTAAGTAGAGGAAGTCAAGCAAGCACATCTTAAGTCGGGTTGTTATTGCTTCATCCTGCACTTTCAGTTTTTCATCTGTAAAATACGAAGAGCCAGTTAGGCTGGCCCAGATATCCTTCAGTGGGTTGATAAATAAGGGTCTTTGGTTAGAGGAGCATGCATCTTTGTTTTGCTCTATGTTGGTAACATTCTGAATTGAAACACAGAACAATAATTTTTTTTAAGATTGCCCACTAGAGGCAACTAGCCTGAGAGCTTGGCCACCTTGTGCCCTGGCCGTCCTTGGAAGGTGGAGGGCATCAGAAACAACAAACAAAAATTTTAATGAGAACAAGTCCCCACCATGGTTATCACATGCACTTCAAACAGTTCATCAGAAAAGACCACCACCACTGAGGGAAAAATTCCAAATGCAGTTATCATCTCTCAGTCTGTTAGAGGGAAAATATCTAAAATACTCAGCAATAAGAGAAAGGTTAAATAAGTGATGGCACATCTCTAGGATGGAAAACTGTGCTGCCATTATATTACATTCTGAGAGAAAGTTTATGGGAATGGGAAAACATTCCCTTTATATTGTCAAGCAATATAACCAGAAAAAGTACTCATAGGATATTTGTAAATATGAAGAGATTTTATCTTTGGTTGCTGAGATTACAGTTTTTTTGTGTGTGAGTTTCCTGGTTTTCTAACATTTTCATATTGAACATGTGTTACTTCTCTTATAAGAAAAAAATAAAAATGTTATTTAATATATTGACTCTAAATTAGACTTCTGAGGTCCTTCCCAGACCACAAGACCCTTCTCCTTGGTGCACACTTGCCTAGAGTTCTTCCTCCAGGTAGATGATACTCATAGAGGAATGTTTGGGACACTAGGGTTTGCTCAGAGAATTCTTGAATGCTTATTATGGGGTCATTCTATTTCTTTCCCCCAAGAAACTATCAACAAAAATGCTTCACTCTCTGTAATACTGAAAATTTCTCTGTGTCATTCAGAAGGCTGGTTGGTAATGCATACCATCTAGGGAACCTCTACTTTTGCTACAAGAATATTTTTCTCGGAGAAACCAAGATGGCGGCATAGGTTAACGCCGGAGTTTGCTGCCTCGAACAACCACTTGAAAAATACAACTAAAAGACGGAACGGACATCATCCAGAACCACAGGAAGGCTGGCTGAGTGGAAGTTCTACAACTAGGAGGAAAGAGAATAGCATGCCGAGACTCAGAGGAGGCGCAGTGCTGAAGTGAAATACTAAGGTGTGGAGTGCATGTGGAGAGGGCTGGCGGCTGAGGGCGCAGTTGTTGTTTTCAATCGGGAGGGAGTCTCAGACTCTGAGCTCCAGATCCGGGCAAGTCTCTAGGGACCCAGACTCAAACGGGAGAAGTGGGACTGTCTGGCTTCGGTTGGAACTTGAAGGCAGCTTTCTCTCCAAGGTTTGCAGTGGTTGCTGGGACTCTGAGAGGCAGAACACCTGGGGACGGGACTGAGAGCAGCCATAACTACTCGCTCCGCCCGCCCTGTAGATCCCCGGGGACCCGCCCCGCCCAAGCCCTGCACAGAGGCATTTGCTGGATAGCCTTAGGCAAACACTAGATTAGCACTGCCCTAGAGATCCAGCACAGAAGTTCTTCCACTGCAGACACAGCTGATTCTCATAGCCAGTTAGCCTGGAGGACAAATCACCCCCAGTATTACTGACAACAATCAAGGCTTAACTACAACAAGACTGCCCACAAAGACCACAAGGGGGTGCACCAAGAAAGCATAAAAAAATGCGGAGACAAAGAAACATGACAGAAATGGAGGATATAGAGCTCAAAACCGCACTTTTAAGGTCTTTCAATAATTTTCTAGAAACTGCCGATAAGCTTAATGAGATCTACAAGAAATATAATGAGACCCTCGATGTTGTGATAAAGAACCAACTAGAAATTAAGCATACACTAACTGAAATAAAGAATATTATACAGACACCCAACAGCAGACCAGAGGAGCGCAAGAATCAAGTCAAAGATTTGAAATGTGAAGAAGCAAAAAACACCCAACCAGAAAAGCAAAATGAAAAAAGAATCCGAAAATACGAAGATAGTGTAAGGAGCCTCTGGGACAGCTTCAAGCGTACCAACATCAGAATTATAGGGGTGCCAGAAGATGAGAGAGAGCAAGATATTGAAAACCTATTTGAAGAAATAATGACAGAAAACTTCCCCCACCTGGTGAAAGAAATAGACTTACAGGTCCAGGAAGTGCAGAGAACCCCAAACAAAAGGAATCCAAAGAGGACCACACCAAGACACATCATAATTAAAATTCCAAGAGCAAAAGACAAAGAGAGAATCTTAAAAGCAGCAAGAGAAAGAAAGTCAGTTACCTACAAGGGGGTACCCATACGACTGTCAGCTGATTTCTCAACAGAAACTATGCAGGCCAGAAGGGAGTGGCAAGAAATATTCAAAGTGATGAATACCAAGAACCTACAACCAAGATTACTTTACCCAGCAAAGCTATCATTCAGAATTGAAGGTCAGATAAAGAGCTTCACAGATAAGGAAAAGCTAAAGGAGTTCATCACCACCAAACCAGTATTATATGAAATGCTGAAAGGTATCCTTTAAGAAGAGGAAGAAGAAGAAAAAGGTAAAGATACAAATTATGAACAACAAATATGCATCTATCAACAAATGAATCTAAGAATCAAGTGAATAAATAATCTGATGTACAGAATGAACTGGTGATTATAATAGAATCAGGGACATAGAAAGGGAATGGACTGACTATTCTTGGGGGGGGGGGAAAGGGGTGTGGGAGATGCAGGAAGAGACTGGACAAAAATCGTGCACCTATGGATGAGGACAGTGGGTGGGGAGTGAGGGCGGAGGGTGGGGCGGGAACTGGGAGGAGGGGAGTTATGGGGGGAAAAAAGAGGAACAAATGTAATAATCTGAACAATAAAGATTTAATTTTTTAAAAAAAGAATATTTTTCTCCAAGATGAATCATAG